AGAGAGAGAGAGAGAGAGAGAGAGAGAGAGAGAGAGAGAGAGAGAGAGAGAGAGAATGTGCACACACACCAAAAGTTGTAAAGAAGAAAAAAATCTCACTGATCTACAAAGGCAAACACAACAAAATAAAGCCAGTTCTCTCATCATCTAAAAACCAGGAAAACATGCAATATGCTTCAAGCCCCAAAAGTAAGTGACTGCCAAAGAGTCTGCTATATTTGGCAGAGCACTCTTTTAAAACTGATGCAGAACTTAGGACATTTCAAAACAAGCACCACTAAGGCAATTCATGGCAACCACACCAGCACTGAAGGACAAGTTCACAAGACTGTGGTACAAAGGGTGAGAAAAAAATCATCCCAAACACAGGAGCACAGGAAAGGGTGGTGGTGGTGGTGGTGGTGGTGGTGGTGGTGGTGGTGGTGGTGGTGGTAGAAATAGGAGGAAGAGGAGACCCACTGTGACCACACAGTAGCCCCTCATCCAATCAGGGGAGAAAAAAAACACCTAATATTCCAACAAACCAGAAAAATAGCCAAAAGCATGACAGGAATATCCAGACATTGTTCTGTAATGACTTTAATGTAAATGGCATCAACTTAGCTGACCAGGGCTGGAGAGATGCCTCAGCAGTTAAAAGCACTGGCTGTTTTTCCAGAGGATCTCAAAAACACTCACATGGAGACTCACAACCATCTGTAATTTCAGTTCTAGAGGCTTCAGTAACCTCATCTGGTTTCCACAGACACCAGGCATCCACATGGTACACAGACAAACATGCAACCAAAACGCCCGTACTCATAAAATAAAAATAAGTCAATCTTTCAAAACAAAACAAGGTACAACATTCTAGTTCTTGCCAATAGTGTAACACTTTGTTTCTTACAGTGAACTAAAAGCATGTTCCCATGTAACAGTGGCTACCCTCTCGCTTACCCCCTCTGTATTAGTGACAATTTACAGGAGACTTTACTTGAGCTTATGGTTCCAAAGAATGACATAACACCAGAACAAAGGTAGCATGAGGAGGAATCCTAGGACTTACATCTTGAACCAAAAGCAGGAAACAGAGAGGGCATGAGGAATGGTGTGAACCTCAAAGACCCACCCTCAGTGACATACTTCCTCCAGCAAGACCACACCTCCTGAGCCTACGCAAACAGTTCTGCTAAGAATTCAAACTATGCGGAGGCATGCCACTCAAACCACTACACCTTCCCTCGCCTCGCCAGTCCGTCTGTAACAAGAAAAGTAACTTGCTTTCTCTATACTACTCACAGTGTGGCTGGAAGTGGGAGGTTTGTGTTCCCAGTGAAGAAACGTCAATGGATAAGAAAAGAAAGTAGAATCAACACTTGAATGCTTAGCATCTGTCAGGACCTAGTATTTGTTCAGTCTTTGTGCTATAAGGTTGAACAAGTTCAAAGTAATAGAACTTAGAAATGGTGAGGTCTGAACCTCCAGGTTCATTTACTTCAAAATTCTTACGCATCACAGCCGGTCACCACCACAGAACTGCTACCCTAGGATTCAGCACCAGAGGGCGCCACTTAACACAATTCCAACCTCCATCCCCTGTCCAATATTTGAAAGGGATGTAATTACAGAAATATGGAAGGAGGTACAGAATCTCAAACTGGTTGAAAACTAGCACAAAAGCTTAAACTTCATAAAAAGACAATTCAGAATCACTCACAGGGGAAAGTTAAAGGAGTACACGCCTGCCTGGATATATATTTTATGATAGATCTAAGTGAAGCCAGAAAGAATGGGACAGGAGAGAGAGAACTCAACAGCTAAGAGCCAATACTGCTCTTGCAAACAATTCAATTCGGTTCCCAGCATTAATGTTAGGAGGCACCCAACTATCTGTAACTTCAGCTCCAGGGGATCTGACATACTCTCTGGCCTCTATAGGCACTTGCACTCACACAAGCACATGCTCATGCACAGTCATACAACATATACACATAATTTAAAATAACATAAATCTTTTTAAAAAGAAAGGGCCAGGTTTTTGCAATAAGTGGAGCAAGCTCCATCACTGCCAATGTGTGCCTTGGGACTTCAGTTTGTTTTGAGGTTATCGATCGCTGCCTGACACATATGTGTCTACCTCTCACTCAGATGTCACTCAGCTTGATCGGTTTGTGTTTCCTTAGTGAGGTTTATGGCAGTGGGAATACACTGAGGATGAAGGTGATGGCTAATGGTATTTTAGTCACTACAGCAAGAGTGATTCTTTTTCATAATTTCTATCAATTTCCTTTCTCTTACAGAGGCTCGCCAGATAGAGATGGAATGGTAAGTATTTAAATGACCATTTTTAGTGGGCTTGCACCACTATATCTGCTATGCTTAAATTTTCCCAAAACCAGCTTCTCTCTCTTCCTTTGCTTTTTCTTCTTTTTCTCCTTTCTTCTTCTCTTCCTCTTCCTTCTTCTTCTTCCCTCCTCTTTTCAAAAGTCCAACAATTTTAATTCTCTTTAGTAAATGTGCATGAGATATAAATGTGGTCTTTGTCAAGTTAGAGTTTATATATTGCACTCGCCTAAAACCCAGCCCCAGAGCACACAAGCAAACTAGCCATGGAGATAGCAAGTCAAAAGGAAAAAAAATGCTGGATAGTTTGTACAGGGGCTATTCCCATCTCCAGTTCAGTGACTTAAAGCTCATTATGTGAGAATTTTCTTTTCCACAGTCATAAAGGAGCAGCTTCCCAATAAAACTGAAGGAAACTTTTCCCTTGAGCAGCTGGGCCACAAATACATTTTCTATATTAAATTCAGAAGTAGGGAACGGTCTTAAAACTACTTATGCCTGAATTTTACAGCCAGAAGGAGAAAAAAATGTATCCACTGGGCTTCAATTGAACAGAAAGTGAACTTCTAGCTGGCTGCCAGATTTCTTGGTTTTTAAAGAGGTCTGGGATATGCCAGCTTAGACCGATCCTCATCAGACTTATGGGAGGCTGCCCTAGCTCCCAAAATGACTTCCTTCCTATCTAATCAGATGCCTATTCAAAGAGTTCAAAAGAACAGCTGTTACTCCGGGGAAATGGACACACATTAAGCTCCCTGGGCCAGAATAAGAACTAAAATAAACCCAGTGGTTAAAAATATATTTTAAAAAAACTGCTCTTTATAATATTTTACCTAATGGGGTGCTAATTGACACCATAGCAGGAGATTTTCTCCTGCTTTTGATTTAAGAGTTTTCAGCTTTGGGGTGCCTTTTGCATTCATGTGATTCTTGCTATGAAATGTTCTTTTAAAGAAATAGAATGAAATTGATCAAACTTTGGGTACCTCTATAATCAAGGCTCTATTCAGCAGGGGAAAAAAAAGGCCCAGAAGACTCAGCTTCTCCTCACCTCTTGCTTCTGGCTCAGAGCCCTCTCCTTAACTCTGTCTCAGGTACTCTCTGCTTCTGTGTCTTCTCTTTGCTTCCAGCTTGGTCCTCTCCCTGGGTCCTCTGTCCTCCCGTCTATGCCTCTGCCAGGCTCTGTCATCTCCTCTGCCCTCGTTGGATTGCTGCTCCTGGTTTCTCTCACTTTCCCACTCTCTTAGTCTTGTCTTTCCCCCCTCCAAGCCACCCCCCTGCTCATTGTCTCTGAGATCCCATCGCTACCTCACTAGTCTCTGCTCTTCTAAGAAGCCCCAGTTTACATATCTGTTAGAATGTGTACCATGGTACCTGATGTTGAAGATGCCCGTGAACATGTGTTGCAGGCATGGGCACAATGCTATCCAGATCTCCCTGAGTTCTTCTTACACCATCCCAAGTCCTGTAAAATCATTTATTAGCAGTTTGTGTCCTCTCTATTATTAGCTAGAAATGCCATAAATAAAAATACTCATAAGAACAAGGAAGTATTTAATTTTATTTTTTCCAGAAATAAAACAAGCCTATTCTAGAAAAGGCCACCTTTAGAAAAAGTACATTTTCTCTGAAAAAGGAGGTTCACTTTCATGTATAATTGGAAATTATAATTTAGCTATAAGCTCTACTAGAAAATGTTCAAATTTCTCCCAAACATTTGACCACCAAATTCGGAGGTCCAGTGTCGTGGGCTAAAGTTAATATGTCCATTATTAATCTTTAGACATCTCAGCCTGAACTTCTTCTAAACTCGAAATGATTTTTTAAGTCCTTAAATCTGTGGGCTGAAACTGCTTTGACATGGTTGAGAATGCTTCCAGACGCCCTGATTGCTTTTTCAAGGCCCGGAGCTGGTGGTGTTTGTACCTTTCATGAATGCGATTCTACAAGCTACAGGTGTGCTGAGCTTGTAAACACATCGGGAACCAAAGAGTCTGTGCCGAAGCTTCAAAATGGCCATACTTCAATTCTCTCAGACTCTGAGGGAGCCCATCACTGATGAGGCTGCATGGCAGGGCTGCATGGTGTGAAGGTGGGTGTGTCTTGCTGCTCACTGGCTGAGTGTATCCTCATTGGCAGAGCTGTTTGTCACAACGTCTAGACCTCAGGTAGCTTTGTGTGACAACACATTCTAACCCAGAGACAAACCGTAATTGCTGCAGAGTAACTGCAACTTTCCCTACATGGTTCTAATTCTCCACACTACACTGGGGTAACAGGGTCAGAGTCCCTGGCTGTGAGATCTATCCTGCTTGTCTCTAAACATGCAGGCAGGAAAGGGCACAGTTCTGGAATTGCCCTCTGTGTGCCCTATTGCTCTTTGTTGACCTTTTGAAAGGCTTTGATCAGGGGGAAAGAGGGGAGCTACGCTTTACATTCACAGATTAGAAATGTAAACAGAAATTGTCCAGTTCCTTTCTGTATTGTCTTGGTGTCTGTTCTCTATGCGTGGACTAAATGCCATCTGAATGAGGATCCAAATGGCCCCTGGTGCCCTAGCCCATCTCCCTCCTTCCCACTTCCTTTCTGCTGAATAGAGCCTCATTATGGGCCCTAAAGTCCGCTCTTTGCCTGCAGAACCCTGCCACGATTGGTAGGCTGAACAATTTGGTCTAGAGGTTGTCTCTACTGTGATATGTTTGCTGACTCCGTGTGATTCTTTATATGTGTCTTGAAGAACAAACAGATCCTTTAACAACTTTTTTCTACATGAAAACAATCAATTCCAGCAGCCCAGTCCACATGAGCCACCCTACCATAGCAAAGCAGAGTGTGCGCGTGAAGGAGGGAAGAAAGCTTCGGTAAGGACACAGATTTCAGTTTAAATTTCCGAGGGGTTGTAGAAACAGTGAGGGAAATCCCCACTTCAACTCTGGAAAGGCACAGTATCCCTATTCAGTCAACAAGGTAACTCCAAATTACTTCTTGTCTATCCAGGTCCAGGTTTTAAGTCAACCATACGACCGTCATGTGCTGATGTCTGAAGATTCCGTTAAGAGAATAATCGAGCCTAAAGACTTGCGTTGTCTTTTGTTTTAGGCAAAGGACAAGGATTTAGACTTTCTAGGTTTTTAAAAAATTCTGGTATCTGTAAAGATGACTTTGACTGTATAGTATAAATCAACATGCAATTCGAGTTAGATTCCACTTGGTGAAATAAATACCAACTGTATTATCAGTAATATTAGGAGTTTGGCAGAACCCTGCCCTGTGGAAATCAGCAATCTTGACTAAGAAATCTGGAGTCGAGGATGCTGATCCTGGTCCAGGCTGTGCATTAACTACAGCTGTGTAGCTCTAGGAAACTATTTCAAATTCAATCTGTTGGTCATACTCGCCACATTTCAAATACTATATAGCCCCTCCTATGTAGTGGCTACACACAGAACGGCACAAAAAGTGTTTTCATGTTTACAAGGAGCTTCGTTGGAGAGTGCTGTCTTGTAAGACTGCTTACAAAGTAACTTAATTCTACCAAGAAGAAGAAAACATTTTGGTAGTATATCACGTATTTTTAAGATCACTAAAAATATGTGTAGCAGCTCACCAAAAAGGGGCGGGGGAACATTCACAGTGGAAACATGTAACTGTTGAGTGCTCAATTGAGAGAAATCATTACTACAGTTATTGATCTAATTCAGTGGTTCTCAGACTTCCTAATGCTGCACCCCTTTAATACAGTTCTTCGTGTTGTGGTGAATCTCCACCCCCACCCCAAAACCAACCATAAAGCTATCTTCTACGTCCTAACTACAATTTTGCTATTTACAAATCCTCATGTAAATTTATAATATGCAGGATATTTGATATTTAAACTCTGTGAAAACATCGTTTGACACCCTAGGGGATCATGACCCATAGGATGAGAACCATGGATCGGGCTCCTCACATTATCCAAAATTAAATGCCTATAAAAACAAGACAACTATGCTCATGGGTGTCAGTCACCTTTAAAAAACAATCAAAAACTCAAGCTATAAAAGTTATACCACACAGACCTGAAGTTTTAGAAAAGAGAAAAGGGAAAAAACAAAAGAGCATATTACTCGGACTCCAGGATGAAAAATAACCAGCATGTAGATGTTGCCATCAACCTTAGATCCAACCGCCCAGTCATGGTTCTTCACCACATACATCCCTGCTTTAGTGTCTTCCACTGAGACTGATACGTCCACTGACTATGAGCTGTATGATGTTTAAAAACAAGAATTACTTTCCTTTGTGCCTAACCAGAAAAATCCCAATAAAAACCTGGCTTACCTTGTTCACTTGAGAAAAAAATAACAAACAAATAAAAAAATTACAATAAACGTGCATGAATGAGAACAAATTGCCAATTACTCTAATAAAGCCGTGTGTGTGTGTGTGTGTGTGTGTGTGTGTGTGTGTGTATAGTGCTGAATATCTTACCAAAGCAATGTACTGTTATGATGTGTTGCTTGAATTTGGTATTTGTTTTTAATACTGCTATAAGAGGGAAAAATTCTCTTAGATTTTTGTTTTCCTTTGTTTCAATCTTCATTGGTTTCTATGGAAATAAGGAAACATTTACTAGGCCCAAATCTAGAATTTACTAAATTCTTTAGAATTTACTAAATTATTTTAGTAAATTTTTTTATAATTTAGTAAATTCTCTATTTTAGTAAATTCTTATATATGTTGTCAAGAAAAAATATAAATATAGTAACACATGAATATACATATGTTATATACATATAGCTTATTTATATTAATTTGTGGAGTATCTTGAATTTAAGGAGGTTTAATCACAGAGAATAATGACAGAGAAAAAAGCTGTAGAATTAGACAAACTTTGGAGTCTTTAATTTACCTAGATTTTTGAGTTTATAATAGCACTCCTTTGTATGAAGGAGCCATTTAAAAAGTGAAAGGCAAACTGGTGACAGGTTACACTGGTGACAATATCCATGGGTTTGTGTCTCTAGAGTAAGTGTGGCCTATCTGATTCCCTATTGTTATGTCAAATTTTGTGCTGAAGTTGGTTTTCATACATGCTTTCTAGGAAGGAGTTGAAGCATCTTGCAGTAAAACCATAATTTAGACAGATTGGTAAAGCACAAACTATATATATGAAAATTGGAGGCAGGCCTTTTTCCAAGAGAGATTATTGACACACAAAGTTGACCAGGCTCTCAATAGTAGCATTACAATATACACAGGCAGAGCTAGTGACAGGTTTTTAAAGCCCTTTGACAAATTGGGCAAACTGCCACTGAAGCTCAAATATCACGAAGGCAGTTCTGTGGGAAGAGTGAAATGATGTCTGCATACGTGTAATCTTTGTGAGGAATGGGGGTAAAGAGCGACCAGCAGAAACCTCACATACATGGACACAAGGCCTGGTGAACTCTCATGCAATGATAGTCTGTAGCAAGGGGGAGCACACCACTTACACCTGTGCACTATACCCCTTGATGAGCCACACACAGCCTATTCTTAGAGTGCCCAGTCAACTTTAGTAAGTGTAATGGATGGTGACATTTCTCCTGGGTTTTCTAGAAATCCTCTGTACATAGGTGCAAAGCTTCCTTTACTTGTCCACTTTGATAGCTACCAGCAACAAGTAAAGCAAGAGGCCTTACTTGTGTTTGCAAAATGAGAGGCCCTGTCCTCAAGCCCCGTATGTCACCATATGTGTTGTTCTGAGGTCTGCTATTGCTCAATGACTTAGCATTGCTTTGTGTGCTAAATGCAAGAATGTTATCGAATAGACCCTTCGTCACTAACCTTACTTGTGCTTTTGTCCAAAAAAAAATAGAGAAGCTTATTAATTTTCTCTTGGAGAGTGACACATCCTTGGTCTAGTACTTGTGTTCATGTGTCACAATTCCACTGTGAGCCTAAATAAAACTTAGATAAGCGAGAGACAGTACCATGCTGTTTTCTTCTTGCAATAGTGCGTGGTGTGATATGATATGGAAGCACAGAGCGCATGAAAGGACAAATTGGCCCTTGATCTTCAAATTATATTTTAGTAATTTGATAAGAAGAGCCATTTGGAAAGAAAAGCAATACAATTTTCAGTGACTAGGAGCTGAATGAACTAATCTAAAGCTGATTGCATTTATATTTTATCAGTTGAGTCATGGTGAAAATAATTCTGCAATTAGTGACTCAGCTGAATACTCTGAGCATATTGGAACTATTTTACATCAGCAGCACAGAAGTCAAAGTTTTCCATTTTATAGCCATATGATTTTAATCCTCAAGATACAGAGAATTAAACCATAATGGAAATCCTACAAGTTGATCCGTGATTGAATAAACTTTTAACAGCCAGCTCTACCTAACTTGCTGTCTTGTGAAATATGTGTGTTGGCTTCTCATTCAGTGCTCTGACAGCCCACTTACCACCCAGTTACACCAGTGTGCTTTTTACTGGAGGATGCTCTAATCCGTGCTTTGATAGCTAAGTCCAGATAAGAGTTAAGTGTTTTTTAGTTTTTTGGTGTTTTTTGTTCCATTGTGGGTTTTTTTTTTCATTTAAATGTCTCCCTCCTAAATTTATTTTTAAATTTATTACAGAAGAAAAGCAATGGGGCACCAAATGGATTTTATGCAGAAATTGATTGGGAAAGATATGTAAGTAAAAGAACATTTTTCTTTATATACAACTTTAAAATGAGTTGTGGTACTTAGATACATAATAGGACATAGAAATTGTTGGAAAGCTGTATGCTTTATTAGGAAATGTCTGCTGCCATTCTTAGGACAGACTGATGTTCACAGCACTAGAACCTATCAAACCTGGCTAGAAGACCTGGCCTCTCCAAGTACCAGCTATGTGTTGGAGTATGGTCAATAGGTACAGCAGTTACCTGGTGTGTTTGATGCAAGGACTCTGAGCTAATCACTTGCACATCCCAGGAATATACTAAGCCCACAGCTGTATTCAGAAATGCTTTTTTTTTTCATACTAAATCTAGGTAGTTCCCTTTCTAAGCAGCTTTGAATGTGGAGGCAAAGAAGTTAACTACTGAGTCTGGGATATGTGATGAAAACTATATGGTATGAACTTTTCCCGGGGCAAGTGATAGTCAGTTGATTTTCAGGGACTGAAGGTAGATTCCCAGCTGAGATCTAAACTTTCCCCATAATTCTTAGCACCATTACCATACACGCCACTAGCCACAACAGAGCAGCCTGTTCATCCAACCTGTACCACCCTCAGATTTCTAATAGAACATGTATATCGTTTTTGCATCAGAGATCTCTCACTGCTGCCTCTCCAATCTCAACTTCGGCAGGGCATGGTCCTTCCTTCATCAGCTGAGGATTCAGTCTCAAATCACATGGAGTCAAGGAGCAAGCCAGACTCGTGCCGACACACCATCCGATTACATTTCATTTCCTTTTTGCTTATTGAGCTCATCCTTGCCAAGTGGGATTGTCATGTTATTCAGTGAGACTGTGCCGCACATTTATAATAGGAACACAAATGTGATATATGAACACCAATCTGCACACTGTCTTTTATCTTCTCCAATTTCCCCTTAAAAGTATTAGCTCTCTGCTGTTAGATTCATCTGACAGTCAGACTCCCAGGACTGGAGGGTAGAAACTTGAAAATCTTCTTGAAACTTCCCTCCTCTTTTTCCTCCTGTCACTAAGAGCTGACCGTCAGTTCCTCTAAATGTCCTTGGTTCATCCTATCCCATCACCAAAACTTGAGCTACAGTCTTAGCAAGCGTGTCTGAGTTGACACACATATTTTAAATGAGTCATCCTTCCTCCTTCCACCAGTCTACTTACCATTCTGTCCCCAACATGTTCCACTGTAGCTTAGAAACTTCAGCAGCCCTAGCAAGACAAAGTCCCCACCCTAGCACAGTCGCCTTTGGTCTGTTGCCCAGCTCCCCACCCTCACCCCCCACTGTACAGCTTACTTTCCAGTCATGCTGCCCTTGATACTTGGACCATCAGCACCTGAGTCACAGTCTCAACCCAGGCTTTTCACAACACTATGGAGAAACCCCACTCCCCAACCTTACCTTCTCTTATCAACATTGAAAGGCTCCAGTAGCTCCCCTTATTCTTAAAACTAATCTATTGTCCCGTCAATTTTAATATCTAACATTGCTATACTGTGCTATTTTCTCTATAATTTTTTGCCTCCAAGAACATGTTTTAATTTCCCTTAGGGCAAATAGTTTGCATTTCAATCAACAGTGTTGCTTAGCACAGTCTGTGGCTTGTAAGAAAGGCCGGGTAAGTTCTCTTTGAGTGCTTTATTTTGTGGGTTGTACATTGGGGTCCTTCCAATATCCTTGAATAAAGATTTAAACACAGACTGCTTAGCATTCACTTCCAAATGCTAAATCCTCAACCCCTTAAACCAGGAGGCTTGTCTATACTTTTGAGTAGATGATTCTAAAAGGAAAGAAATGCTTCTGTCATTTTGGAATAATAACCACTTAACATGCATTTATACCTTATTTTTTGAGAATTTGACAGGATTGTTATATTCATAACATTTCTACCCTCATTCCAGCTTCCAGCTCCTCACACACCCCCAACATCCTCTGAACTATTCTTTATTACCATTACATATATGAGTGTACACATATATGCATATAATATGTATATGTATATGCATTTGTGTCTTTCAGAACTCACCTGAGCTAGATGAAGAAGGTTACAGCATCAGACCTGAGGAACCAGGCTATATCCTTTCTTTTTAAATGTTTTAGATGTATATCGTCTGAGGAACCAGCAAGCTAAATTCAGGCCTCACAAAGGTGGCAAAATAACCAAAGCTACTATACTTAGTCTCAGGGATGAATAACTATCCCCAAGCGCACCCTGGTGGCTGACGAGTATGGATGAGCTCTGATCTAGTCGAGGGACCGAGATAAAGTGATGGAGTGGAGGAAAGGTGCTGTAAGACAGCCTGCACACTGTGGCCATGTGTTGCCTGCTGCACCCCAATATGGCAGTGAGTGTTATTAACAGTGAGCAGCAAAGAGCTTTACTGTCCTCTTCTTTCAACTCTCCACTAAAAGACTCAAGCACCCTTGCCTTACTCTGGCCAACTCCAAAACCCTTAAGACTCTTTATAGGTGTCCTTTAAAGTAGCCATCCCATGTCTGGAGATGAATAACCTCCTGAGTTCTTGTCTGTGATCTGGGTGTAATACACAACCTTCACCCGAGACACACACACACACACACACACGTAGGATTTTGACCAATGCTCCTCAGAGTCCACAGTCCTTGGTAAGCTTCTGAGGACAGTGAACCTAACCTTTTCCTCCCTCAATTTTGTAGGTTTTGCTTTGTTTTCCTGCCACCTGAGGTTACTTTTGCTTTGTCTATGTGTAGTCATTCTTGCTTGCCCTCACCCAGACCTCCCAGCAGAAGGAAGAGCTAAATGTCTTTAACTGTGTTCTACCTACCAAAGGAAAGCACTTTTACTCTTCAAGTGAATCTGAAGAGGAAGAAGAATCACACAAGAAATTCAATATCAAGATTAAGCCCTTGCAATCTAAGGACGTCCTTAAGAACGCAGCGACAGTAGACGAGCTGAAAGCTTCCATAGGCAACATCGCACTTTCCCCGTCGCCTGTGGTGAGTGGAGTCTCCATGTTAACCTTTGGTAAGGCTGGGCAGAGAGCTGGGTTCTGACACGTGTGCTAAGAGTGACATGTGTCCAATCTGATGAACTCTGCAGCCCCTGAGTAACTCAGTCTTACCCTCTTATATTGCAGTTCCTGTGCCTTTCAAACTAGCAAAGACACGTGAAACTGTGTTTTCTTTTATTTTCTAATAAGCATCAAAGAATAACAATAAGATCCTCCAGACTTCTGAGGGAGACTTAATTTTTAAATATATATATATATATGAATTTCACTAGCCATTTCTGTCTTTATGAAAATACACGAAAGCCAAGAAAATCACTCTTAAAAATACTTCCCCTTAGGATGGTCCAAAATCATAGTAAATAAATAAAACAACACTAGATTTTTAAAATTCATATTCTTCATCATTTTATCCTCAAATCATTTTAAGCACTCTTGGCATTGAGGCACCTCAGAGTTCTCGCCTCATTTATATTATTCTTACGGGTCTTCTCCCACAATCTGGGCTCCCGTTCCCCATTCCTAACTACTTAATTTCTTTAGTTGCTGAGTCTGAGTGCTAATATTTCAAGTATTTTCTCCCTGGGGTTTGAAAAATGCCAACATTGTTTTCTAAGAATAGCTGTGAACACAGATGCAGACTCCCTAATGAGATTCTCTTAGCTTCTTGAGGGAGTCTCCCCCTCAACAGCTTACTTAATAAATGCCACTTTCTAGGGGCTTCTAGAAATATCCCAAGTAGTATTTTTAAAACAATTGTAATTGTTCCTTTGAGAATAAACTTTTGCCTTCCAAGGATTAAAAAACACAAAAAACAAAAACTTAGATTATTGTGCATACATTGTCCTTGATTCCATCTGTCTGTGAAAATTAAGATGATTGCTAATAGTAACCCAGCCATCCCAGATGGACTTTGCAATAACTTTTCATCATATATTCAGCTGCTACCTTAACCGAAGGATGAAGTACAGTTTCTTTCTCCTCTGCAATGGAAGGTGCAGATTTTAAACTCGCATCCCAAAGAGTTGTAGGCCAGGAAGCACTGTGGCCTGCCTATCCCTCTGACTTCATTTTCACCGTTCAGCCAATCCTTTCTCCTCACCTTTCACTTTTGAATCATCGTTCACCTGTTTGTTTGTTTGATTGATTGATTGATTGTTTGCTTATTTTAAGAAAATCTCTTCAATGGCAGAAGCAAGTTTATATTCACTTCTCTGTAGGGCCTGATAAATTGAGTGGGTATTTGGAAATCACATGGGGAGATGGAAGAAGGCAAGTCCATCCGATTAAAAGGATAACTATGTACGAAAGTGGGCTTTCTAGTCACATCCCAAAAACATAGCTAAAAGCCCACAGAATTTAGGTAAGGTGGGATCCATTGTGTCAAAATGAACTTGTGTGTGCCCAAGTTGCTTGGTGTGTTTTCTTCTACCCGATATGCTACTGAGACACAGTGAGAACAGTGCCTGGAAGCTGGAAGCTTCCTCAGAAGTTACCTGTAGTAGCCATAGCCATCAGATGGTTAAGGCCAAGGAGATGAGAGAAAAAATAAACACATAGAAACAAGGTAGATGAACACATTCTGAGACTACAGCAGAGTAAAGCTGTTGACTTCCACCGCAGGTTGGACGGCTGCTCTCTGGTCCCACTCTGATTTGTTCCCTCTGCCAGGAACTGTTCCTTCACTAGAGTCATTCACTCCCTCATATTTGTAATTTTGATATTCAGAATAGGAATGAGTTCTTGACACTCCTTTTAGAGACAGGTAAGCACAAGCATTCTGAGTGCACATAAGTGTATAAAGAGAGAGCTGAACATAAGTGGTTTTAGAATCCGTGCCCTTTTCTAGATATTCTATGTAGAAATAGATCAAATGCTGTATCTTATCAGAAGCACATGGACAAAAATAACTTTAGAAAGTTCAGACAGTGTCATGATGGAGCAACCACTGACCCTGGCAACACTTTGGATGTTTCTAGTCAGGCAGTCAGACATTTATATATGGATACTTTCCTTCAGTGTTAGAGGGGATGGACTTCCTAAATCAGTGAGTGCTGCACCAGAATCTTCTACTAAGGTTGTTTCTATTATGCCACAAAAGTATCAAACCCAGCATTCATAGAAAGAGACGAGACTCCAAATGGGTCATGGCAAGGTTTCAATGGAAGTTCTAACTTCTCTTCATTTAATATATATATATATATATATATACATGTATGTGTGTGTATATATATATATGTTTGCTTCCTTATTGTATGTGTATTTTTCCTGCATGTGTTTTTCTACACTATCTTCATGCAGTGCCCTCAAAAGCCAAATGATGATGTATACCTTAGGACTGGAATTACAGATGGTTGTGGGTCACTACGTGGATGCTGGGAATTGAACTCGGGTCCTCTGGAATATCAGCTGGTGCTCTTAACCACTGAGCCATCTCTCCAGTCCCAATTTTGAGATTTTTAATTACAAGTTGTAGTTCATGTGTTTCTTTCACTCCTCTCTGAATTTGAGTTCCTTAATTGTAACTCACTCGACCTCTTTTATTGTGAATTGGTTTCATTCTTCTTAGTTCCCCTTTATAACTACTCAAATCATTCATTAAATATGCAATATAAAATAAGCAACATCATCATGTGCAGACACATATGCAGACGAATCATGTGCAGACATATTGCACACTTACCTGAAGATAATTCTTGTCAAAACAAAGCTTCAGCAACAAGGAAAATTGGAAGGCTTTTAATTTTTCTCTTTCTTTTTCACATTTTTTAATTATCTAATAAAGTGACAGATTTCATTATGCATTTTTAGATACACATGTTCAAATGCTTTTTTATTTATCCTCCTTCACTCCTCTGCTCTTGATGGTCTCATCTCTTTCTGCAATTAGCCTTCTCCAGTGTCTTCATGTTGTATGAGTTCCATTACTGCCCGCCCCCCGTCGATGCTCCCTTAAGATCTTATTCCTTCTCATGGTCCCCTTTTTACTTTTATTACACACACACACACTTGCACACACACACATACACACACACACATATCTGCAACCTGCATATGAAGAAAACATGCAATATTTTACTTAAAATGACCTTTTATCTCTATAAATTTTCCCATAAATGCCATACCACCATTTATTTTAATGCCTGAATGAAGCTCCAATTGTCCATGTGTACCACATTTTCTTTGCACGCTGGTCTATTGACAGACTTCTATGCCAGTTTCAGTTCTTAGCTCTTGTGAACAATGTTGCAATAAATACAAATGTGCAAGTGTCTCATGGAATGCTGACTATAGACATATACCCAGGAGTCATGTAGCGGGGTCAGATGGTACTTCTGTTCTTGAGGAACCTTCACATTGATTTCTAGAACAAGTACACCAGTTTACATCCCCAGCAGCAGTGCCTAAGTGTTCCTCTTTTCCTTCATCTCTCTATTTGTCTTCAGACAGGAGTGAGATGATCTCAATTTTTTTTTAGTGGTTTTTAGTGTTTATTCTTTTACAATTTCATACACATAATTCTTTGATCAAAATCTCCACCATAATCATGTCTACGTCTATCTCCCACCAACCTCTTTATTTTCAAGTCTACTTCTTGCTTTCTTGTCTTTTGGGAAAGGTGTAGGATAGTTGCACTACTACATTTAATGGATTACCTGCATGAGCATGGATGAACAATTATTTGCTTTAGTGGTGCAATGTACTGAGGACTATGACTCCTTCTTCTCTGTGTAACAGTCAATTGTACATAGCCCTTTTGGAAGAACGGGATCTTAGGAACCTTTTGCCTATTCATGATGGGATGCTTGATGGACCAAGTCTCATGTAGTTCAAGTGAAACAGCCATATCATGTCCAGAGGACAGCAATGGACAGGTCTACTTCCCATCCTCTAGTTCTTAGTCTTTCTGCCCCCTTCTTCTGTGAAGTTCTTTGAGAACTGATATAGACATCTCATTTAGGGGCGAACACTCAAATTGACAGACTTCTATGCTGGTTTCAGCATAGATAGAGGGTTTCAGCAAAAATAGCTCTCTCTATTAATTGTCACTCATCGTGAACAGAAGCCTTTTTGACAAACAACAAAAATCACCCATGCTTGTTTTGGATTTGGTTATATTTGTATAAGATAGAACACTGGGTTTGAGCTGCTTAACCAGAGTCTTTAATAATATAAAGGGTTTATCTCTCTCACATTAATGTCAAAACTGCTAGATAGCCCAGAAAGCTAGAGAATCCTGTTCCCAAGTGTCACTCAAAAGTCCAGAAACTTTCTACATCATTGCTCTGCCTTCCTGGGTTGATACAACATCAAGCACTTCTCTATTCGGATTAGACATGGAGGAGAGAGAAAATGGAAACCATGTGTTTTTCTTTAAGGGTTTAGCTTGGAAAGTGCACACATCACTACCACTAAGATCCTAACAATAATTCACTCCCATGGACACATCAGCTGCAAGGGAGTCTGGGAAATATAGTCTTCCCCTGGAAAGACATGTGGCTGACTAAAATTCTGATTCTGTTACCAAAAGACAGAGAAGCAAATGACAGTCAGAAGGACATTGGCAGTTTCTGCCACTGTATCATAAATGAGCCCAGATTGTTTGGGGGAGACCATTGGAAACCAAGTGAAAGGTGTAGGAAATTCTCTTTCAAAAATGTCTTATTAATTTTTAAAGAACAGGAATGCTATGTTACACATTAGCTACCATCAGATTGAATGGAAACAACTTTCAGTTCAGGCATCTTGTGTGGTTAAATAAGATTGACTTGTCTGTCTTCACAGCTCTTTGTCTTACTTGAGACAAGGTCACTAGCTGGCCTAGAACTCACTATGGAGATCAGACTGGCTTTGAATTCATGAAGTCCTGCCTCCTGACTGCTGGGATTAAGTGTGTACCACTATTCCTATCAAAAAGGCCCACTACTACTTAGAGCAGGGAAATTCATTGTTGATTATGTCTTACAATTTTTATCCTTAGTTATGGCT